TGAATTCATACTAGCATTGTCAATTGTCTTCCCTGAGTCCAAGTATTGAAATTCACACAGTTTACAGTTAAATGTAACCACACAATTCAAGTCCTGTAATAGTTTACTTATTGACAGGAGATTGCAATTTAAATTTGGAACATATAGCACAGAGTACAAAATTAACTTGGGTGTCAGTGCATTATTCTTGTTCTTTCGACTTGGGAGATAGAGCCATCAACAATTTTAATTGAGAATTTACTTATGTACTTACTGTATTCCTTGAATAATAAGATATTCCTGGTCATATGATCGGAAGCACTTGAGTCAATAATACATAATCCTCTTTTTGTGGAATAAGTTGAGAAACTAGAAAAATTACTTTTGTGAGCTGTGAAAGTATTACTGAGAACCATATTGGGAGAAAACATTTTTTGGAGGAGGCTGATTTGTTCAGGACTAAATAGGGAGCTTTCAGTAGGAACGGCTGCAACTGATTCCTCCTCTGTTGAGACAAAATTGCCCCGATGAATTTCCTCCGTTTTCTGCTTTGGTGTCTTCTTCTTCTCAGCCGATTCCTTCTCAGCTAGTTTCCCGTGAAGCTTCCCGCATCTTCCACGAACGTGACCCGGCCTTTTACAGTATTTGCACCATGGTCGTCCCTTCCGCTCAGTCACCCGACTTGTGAGGACTGCACCAGTCTCAGGTGAGAGAGATATGCTTTCAGCAAAGTTACGGTTCAGTTGAGAGTCACCCATCATCATTTCCTTCCTGCTTTCTTCGCGTCGCACCTCAGAGAACACCTCTCTGATGTTCGGGAGAGATTTGGTTCCAAGGATGCATCCTCTTACCTCGTCGAAGTATTTATTCAATCCGAAGAGGAATTTGAAGATTCGTTTCTGTTTCACGATGCTTCGGAATCTCCTGGCATCCTCTGGGCAGCTCCAAGCATGTTCCTCAAAAAGGTCAAATTGCTGCCATTTTCGAGTAAGAAAATTGTAATATTGAGTTATTGTTTTTTCTCCTTGCCGCAGGTCGTGAAGATTTGCTTCGATTTCGAAGATAGCGGAAGTGTTATCGCAAGTGGAGTAGAACTCACGAGCTGCGACCCAGATATCGTGCGCAGTCTCATAAAGGAGAAAATTTTCTCCAATCTCGGTGGTCATTGAGTTCACCAACCAAGACATAACAAGATTGTTCTCTACTTTCCATATCCGAGCATTTGGATCATTCGCGGGAGGAGGTGAGAGCTCTCCAATAAGGAATTCATCACAATCTTTCCCTCGGATGAACATTAACACCGAGAACGACCATTGAAAATAGTTACTACCATTTAGTCGATGGCCAGTAACAAAAGAGGGAGCCTGAATAGCAAGAGCATGACTATCAGGCACCGAAAGATGAGAGCCCAGAAGGACTTCGGGCGGAGAAGAGGTCTGCTCATCCATTGCCTATTGAATACAAAAGGGATGCTGAAGGATTTGGATCAGGTATGCTCTGATACCATGAAGAATTTTAGAGTAAGAAATAATTTCCTTTTTCTCACGTTTTTATTCATCGATGATCATACACATTTTATAGGCAAAAGAATGAGAAAATGACAAAAACTAACAACCTTTCCTAGTGGAAGGGAAAAAAGCAGAAAATGGCAGTAAGCATTTTGTTACATTGCCAGGTTGTCAATGAAGGAAAAAATAAATAGTAAAAAAGAAAACATTGAAAGTAATTCTACACTTATTTTCAAAAGAACATTATAATAGAAGATAAGACCAAAGACTCTTTCTTCTTGACCTAACTTTGCGTTCCCCATCACTAGTGAGTATATCTCCCCACTAACCTCAAACTCTAGAAAACCAACCTCACTCACCTCAAAACCCAACGAACAAACTATACATTGACCTGAAACCAGTGACTGGTGGTTATATGACCCAAGGTTCTCTCAAGTGTACTCAAGGAAGAAGAATTTAAGTCCTGAAACCAAAGCAAGTTCAATCAGCAGACTCTAATTCTGGAAATGAGGTAACTTGTGATGACTTTTTGTCTTTTAATATTGACATGTCTATTACAATTCGGAAATGAACAAGAAAATGTACTAAACACCCATTATATTCATTCTCACATTTTGTATCCTTTTAAAAATGTTCATTATCTCATGAGTTTCCTCATGAGTCTAAATACTGTCTCTATTCTTATTACACTATATGATTCATTGCCCTGTAAAAAAATAAAATAAAATAAAATAAAAACTATGAAATGCTCAAATGCAGGGACCGTAAAGGAACAGAACATGGGAGGTGGTAGAGACCTAAAGTAACATTTCTAGCAAAATGTAAATTGAGATTCACTATGAAGTATGAATGGCACTATAGAAAGATATAAAACCAAATCAGTGACCAAGGGATATACGCAAATCTATGCAATAGACTATCAAGAAAACTTTCACTTGTTGCCAAGATGAACACGGTTCGATCACTACTACCTTTAACTGTTACCTATGATTGGTAGTTCCAATAATTTGATATGAAGAACGCCTTCTTATATGGAAACCTCCAGAAGGAAATATAAAAGGAGATTCCACTAGGGTTCGCTAAAAGGACACAAACCAATAAAGTATACAAGCTTAAAAAGGCATTGTATGAACTGAAGTAATCCCTGAAAGCCTGCTTTAGAAGATTTGCAAAAGTAATGATTACCATGAGATATAAACAAAGTCAATGAAACCATACATTATTTATCAAGCACTCAAATTCATGGGGAGTCACAGCTCTACTCATGTATGTTAATAATAATGATTGTGATAGAAAATTATAAGAATGAAAGACTGGCACCAAACAATGTCTAGAACGAATTTGAGATAAAAGGATTAGGAATATTGAAATATTTTTAGGAATTGAGGTGATTCACTGAAAATAAAGAATTTTCATCTCCTAACAAAAATACATTAGTAATCTTTTGAAAGATAAAAGCAAGCTAACATGCAAACCTACAAGCACAATAGTAGATCTCAACCACAAGCTGGGATTAACAAAAGATGTTGCTGTCAATAAGGAGACATACTAGAGATTACTTGGGAGATTTATTTATATGTTAGAAATGAAGCAAATATTGTTATACAATAAGTGTAATAAGTCAATTCATGCATAATCTCAAAAGAATCTACCTACAGGTAACATATATAGTATCATACTATCTTAAAGGAAACCAGGAAAAGGCATTTCGTTCAAGAAAATGCTGGATTGATACTTGAACCTGTACTAATGTTGACTATATTTGGTCAGTAGTAGATAGAAAATCAACCATAGGTTATTGCACTTTTCTTGGAGGAAATCTTATTACATAGAAGTAAGAAACGGAATAAGATAGCCAGATGAAGTGCACAATCAGAATTTCGAGTAAAGGCACAAGGGTTTTGCGGGCTACTAAGGTTAAAAATCATCTTGGAAGACTTGAAGAGTAAGGAGGATAGTCCTACAATACTTTATTGTGACAATAAATCTAAAATCAACATAATCCATAATCCAATCAAGAACATTAAAGTGTCACACACTATCAAAGAGAAATAAGATAGTGGCTTGATCTACACATCCTATATGCTCACCAACTTATAACTTGCCTATGCTTATCAAGGACCTGAGTAATCCAACATTTTACCAAGCTGGAAATAGATAATGTTCATTCACCAGCTTGCAGGACCGCGTTGGAAAGTGTTATTATGTTTAATACACTTGTTTCTTTATTTATAAAAGGCGTAGGGTTTCCTTTTCCGCAATACGGGTCGTCTATAATAGTGAGTATTATTTAATAAAATACATCACATTCTATTCTCCCACAAATCGTTCCCCCTTTTGCATAAGCCACAATGAATCCCAAACCATCTTCTTTGTAGTATACCATTGGAACCAAACTATGGGATTTGGTTTTTGTCTTTTGGGTATCAAGTGGGTGACAAGTGGTTCGATTTAAGCTTCATTTGGGGCAACATTTGAGTTTAGCTTTTATGCTTTGAAAGCACTTTTGTTACCAATTGGATCAAAATGGAAAATGCTTTTGGCGAAAGTTAAAGCTAGAATCTAGTTTTATAAATTTAAATACAAAAAAAAATAATTTACAGTTTTTATAAATAAATTTGCCTTTTAATAGAAATTTACACTTGAAATCTAATAAGAACACAGTTTTTGCTTTTCAAAATGACAACATTTTTTACATTATTTATACCAAATAACTTTTAAATAAAAGTAGTTTTGGTGAATAGTTATTTAA